CCTCTTTTCCTATTGGTCAATTTTGGCTCCAAAACCTCTCAGGGGCTTCTGGGAGTTGTAGGCCCAGCCTCACCTACTGCTAGCCAGGCTCCCTGGGCCTAGTAGGCCTCTGGTGGCACAGCCCAGATCATGACAAGCCTGTTAGCCATATTTGGAATTTTGAGAGGGGGCTTGATGAGTGCCATCTCCAAAAATGGCTTCCACAAGAGGCGGGGCCAAACCTCAGGCGGCAGAGCCGAATGGAATACCTCCCTCCTCACACCTCCTGGGAAGAAGGAAAGCCTGAAGGAGGAAGGGAACCATGCACTGGCTAAGGAAAGCTCAGTTGCTTACCAGTCCTCCTGATCATCCAATGGAAATCCCTTTCGTTTGAACGAAGGTAGCCAATTACAATCCCTGCCTTACAGTGGCCCCACCCACTTTCTGAAACTCTCAATGGGCGCTAAGAGAAGTACTGGTGTGTGTCATGTTGGGGAACCCTGATATATCTTAAGAGCTACAGCACGGGCAAACTGCTTTTATAGTGGCTGGGATGAAGAGATGCCCTGATCTTTGTTGTACACCTGTGCCCCTAAAAGCAAAAGGGTCTTGTGCCTCTTACCCCCAAAGGTTTGCTTTTTACTAGATCTAAGACAGCAGTTGGGGATGGGATGCTTGCAAGCAGTTCATGCTGGCAAAAGAAGGAAGCCACAGTTAGGGTCTGAACTAGAAATCTGGGACTGGGGAGGGGCTGTGGCTCAGTGGCAGGGCATCTGCTTGGCGTGCAGAAGGTCCCAGAAGGTCCCAGGTTCAATTCCCGGACTAGATGGGCCATTGGCCTGATCCAGCATTGGCTTCTCTTACGTTCTTATGTTCTTATATAGCAGCTTCATGTTGCGGAGCTGGGTGAAAAGGCGTTAAGCACAAGTTAGGCGCCCATCCGAGGCCTTCTGAAACTCGCTTATCGTGAAGTGGCTTTATGTCAGCAAGCTGCCATGGTGTTCTGTGTGACTTCTGGTTGTACATATGTGATCCCTGTCCCTGCCAGCTGACCTATGTGTTTGCCTGCTGTAATGCCAAAGTAAAACAACTGGAGGATGTGAGGGGGAGAGTATGCTTCGCTGTAGCTTGTTATTTCTCAAGCCTGAGAACTGCACCTGTGTTGTGTCTACTGTTTGCCTGGTTCCCAAGATCTGAGCAAGCAACCGTTTTCTCCTGCCCGCCGGCGGGAACGTTATCCATTGGTTCTGTATCTAACTTGTATCCCTTTATCATGTCTGCCCTAACTGCTGGTCCCCAGTTCTAACAAAGAACGTGTTTGAGTATCTTTCCAATGCTTTGAAATAAACTTTGCTTTCTTTGAAACGTGGATTTATTCTCGATGCTTGGGGATCCAACACTCTGCAACTGAAAATGACTGAGGACCTTCTGAAAGGAGCCGCCTCCCCCGCCCTCTTTGGATGATCCAGAAAAAGCTTTGCAAAAGATACTCAGAAATTCCACAAGCAGCCATGAATTCACACCGAACAGCAAATCAGTCATCCACATCCCTCTGAAACTTGTTTTTACTGCTTTTCTTAAGAGCTGCAAATTCACCCAGAAGGAAGCTGACATTAACTACAGTGCCTACAAAGTTCAATGATAGAAACTGAACACTGAACAAAGTCCAACTACTGACATTGAACTAGATTAAAGCTTGAGTCCAGGGGCACCTTTAATACCAACAAAGTTTGCTTCTGGGTATCAGCTTTCATGTGCATGCATAGGTAAAGGTAAAGGTTCCCTTGCTCGAAAGCCAGTCGAATCCGACTCTAGGGTTGCGGTGCTCATCTCCGTTTCAAAGCCGAAGAGCCAGCGCTGTCCGAAGACGTTTCCGTGGTCATGTGGCCGGCATGACTAAACACCAAGGCGCACGGAACTCTGTTACCTTCCCACCGAAGTGGTCCCTATTTATCTACTTGCAATTTCTTGCTTTCGAACTGCTAGGTTGGCAGGAGCTGGAACTAGAGACAGGAGCTCACCCTGTCTTGCGGCATCCGGGTCTTGAACTGCTGAACTACTGACCTTCCACAGCCTGCAGTTCAGCGTCTTAACCACTTGAGCCACCGCAGCATATAAAAGCTGATACTCAGAAGCAGGTCTATTTTGGGGCAGGAACGCACAGGAACGGAGTTCCGGCTGGCTCCCAAGTTGGCCACGCCCAATAGAAAAGGTTTTCCTGGCATTATTATGGAAGCCACACTCCTAGGTGGCCGCTCTTCTGCCTGCACCAACCAGAAGAATATGTTGGGGGGGGTCTGATTCCCCTCCTCGGCCAGGGAAGCCCACTGGGTGGCCTCGGGCCAGTCCCCCCCCTTCCACCTGCCCTGCCTCAGGGGGCTCCGGGGGGCGGGGGGTTGTTAAACTGTGGAGGGGAGAACCAGGGCAGCCCCGTAGGGGGGGGGGCTGCGCTGGGGAGAAAAGCAGCGTATAAAGAGGTCAATAAATAAATATGGATTAACATAAGAGTAAGGATTTGTAACGCTTAATTTGTTCTCCAAAAATGGCCTTAATCCCCAACGGTCCACATCAGCAGAGACTCGGGGGCAGCATTCTCCGAAAATCTGGGCTTTGCCATGGCGGGGCATCCAGTAGGGCTGTTCCGGCCTCACCTCATCCCCAAGATGCGACTCAGGAAAAGAGCCCGACTGGACTTTGGGCGGGCAGACTCCCCCCCCGACCCCCCACGGTTGCGAGGGGATGAGACACGACCTCCCCAGCCCATCCATTACCTCCTGCAACTAGCGAATGGGACCCGGATCGCCCGGGCAAGCCCTGTCTCGTCAGATCTCGGAAGCGAAGCAGGGCCGGCCCTGACAAGTCTTTGGGTGGGAGACCACCCAGGAAGACCAGGGCCGTGATGCAGAGGCAGGCGAGGGTACAACCACCTCTCTGGACGTCTCTTGCCTTGAAAACCCTTCAGGGTTAACATCAGGCAGCTGTCACTTGATGGCACTTTCCACCACCGGTGGTGAATGGAATTTGTGTGTGTGTGTGTGTGTGTGTGTTAAGGCTACGCAGGGCTATTTTTGGGCAGGAACGCACAGGAACGGAGTTCCGGCTGGCTCCCGAGTTGGCCACGCCCAGCAGGAACTCATTAGCATAATAGGCCACACCCGATAGCAGGGACTCATTAGGGTTGGCTTCATTAGGGGTGTGTGGCCTTACATGCAAAGGAGTTCCTGCTACAAAAAAAGCCGTGGGTTTTGACAACAAACAAGGTAAACAGAATAACAAGCAAAAGGTGGGTGTGGCTGGATAACCACACTTCTGGTAACATGGGGGTGTGTCCTAATGTGCTAATGAGCTGTGCTGTCATGGGTGTGGCCTAATATGCTAATGAGTTCCTGCTGTTGGGTATGGCCTATTATGCTAATAAGTTCCTGCTGGGCTTTTTCTAAAAAAAAAAGCCGTGAGGCTATGTCCATTTGAGTGACACCCCCCCCCCGCCCCCCAATGCCTGCAGGCACATATGCAGTGAAGGCAACTGGGAATATTACAGGCAAAGCTGTATGCTTTTTGCAAAGGCCGCCATCCAGACACTCCTTCAGGTTACCCTTTCCCCACATCACTAATGAGTGAGAAGAAATGTGTTTCTACAGTGGAAAACGAAGTGGAGTCATCCAAAGAATTCTGTTTTTTATCTGCTGTCACAATGGGGGGGGGACTACAAAATGCCCTCCTGCACCTGTCCCTGAGCAAGGAAGACTATAAGGTGTCTAAGCCACCATCCCCCGGCCCGCCCCCCGAACATACAAAGAAATGGCACACAAAAATGTCTTGGCCTTCCCATTTGAGGCCTGTGAAGGCAACTGGTTTTGATCCTTAATGCCCCACTCGGTGGTTCTTGGATCGGAGCTCCTGAATCGTTCCCCAGGGCCATCTGCGTGCGTGTGTGCGGGGGGGGGGGGCTGGGAGGGGGAGGAAGGAAAGACCAACAAAGCTCGTCTAGGCAGAAGTGAAAACTTGTGATCTGGATTTTAAGAAAACACACACGCAAAACACTTTCTTTGGGGTCAAACGCTGACACAGTGGTTACCAGGCAGCTCCCGGGCAACCGGGCGGGGCTTACCTTGCTGGACCACTTCCGGGCTTCGTCGTGCAGCTGCCGGGCAGCCATCATCATGGGCTGGTTCAGCACCTCCCCCGCCTTCACCTCGGGGAATTCCTCGTCTTTCTCTTCAGGGGGTGGGGGGCGGGGAGGAGGGACCTCCCCCTCTGGCAAGGGGGGCTTTGGAGGAGCAAGTTCATCAGTGAGCTGTGGAGAGGAAGGAAAGGGGGGTCAGCAGCACACCCATACAAGAAGAACGTGGCCAGAAATCTTCACAAGTCTGTGCTTTGGGTTGCTTTTCAAACTCACCAGCCTTCCAACAAAAATAAAGACAAGGAAATTAAAAATATTGTATCATAGTCACCAGAAGAAATCTGTTACCTTAGCTCTAACAACACTTAGCTATTTTTTGGCAGTTGTTAAGAGGAAATATGCCTCCCTTATTATTAATTTTCCTTATTCCCGCCGCATTGAGAAGGAGCTCAGGATTTCTGAACTGCTGGCCAACAGGAAATTCAGGGAAAAAATCAGGGATAATAATTCATATGTGATGATCTTGTACAAAAGACAATCTCCCATCGATGAAACTCCTCAATCCCCATTTTTATGCCAACCACTGAAGACCTTCAAGGGAAATGTCTGAAATCTCAAAGCTACAAATTTTCTCATCTCCTTGTTAATGAAGTCATGATCCTTTTCACGGATATGTTTACAATAATGGATGCCCAAGTCTAAAATGCATGCATCTTTCATGAGTTCTGAATGGCCCTCGCGTTTGGAATAGGGCTGCATTGTGGCTGGGCTACTTCACTCTGCTCTCTGCTCGGCAAATGAGATTGTGAAGCTCTTTCTGTGCACTTCAGACCTCTGCTCTAAAGTCAGGAAAACATTCTGCGTGACCTGAACGTGAGACAGCCGGGGAGTTGAAAGACCGTCGGGCCCAGCCAAACAGCTGCAGATTCTTTACCCGACTGCTGAGACTGCCCCACACTCACGTGAAGCTGTTCGAGGTCAGGAGGAGGAGGGGGGAAGTCAGGCTCCTGGGGCTGAAAAGCTTCTCGGACTTTGGCCACGGCTCCTAAGATCCGATACCCGGAATCCAGAAAGTTCTTCTGCAAACCTGGAGAGAAAGAAAAAGAAAACCCCATGCCTCTCTGTCATGTAAGGGTTATGACGGATGGGGAACAGAAGCAGATGATTTTACAGACATGGCACAGACCGAAGGGAAGAAGGGTCCCAAGCTGGAACTGGGCAGGGTGGCCGGAGCCATACCATGTGGCTCTCACCAGCCCCTCAGTGGTCCATCTAGTCCAGCTTCCGGCTTTACAAAGTGGCCAACCGGTTGCCCAGGAGGGTGTCAGCAAGCTGCCATTCTGTTTCCTGTGACCTCTGTGTACATAGCCTTTCCCAGTTACACCCGACTTGGCTTCTATCATCCTGCTCCTGCTTTGGAATGCAAAAGATAACTGCTGGAGGTTGTGTGGGGGAGAAGATGCTGTAATGCTTGCCTATTGATTTCCCAGGACTTCTGCACCTGTGTTTTGTCTGATGTTTTGCCTGGTTCTCATGTACTGGGCGCGCAACCGTTTCCTTAGCCCGCCAGCGGGAAAGATATTCATTGGATCTGTATCTGTTTGAAATTCCTTTAATATGCTTGACCTAACTGTGTATCCCCAGTTCTAACAAAGAACGTGTTTGAGTATGTCTTCAACGCTTTGAAATAAATTTTGCTTTTCTTTAAAACGTGGATTTATTCTCGATGCTTGGGGATCCAACATATTGTTAGAACTCCCTTTTCCTATCGTTCCGAATCTGACAAGATCATGAGCGGAATTGAGGGAAATCTACCTAACACGGAGGGGGACTCGGGATCGGTCCCACAAACCTCCGCGTCTTTGGTGTTCACGACTGCAGCCTCCATGGAGGGTGCCGTGGGGGGAACGATTCCCCGCCTGCCTGCACATCTGTCTTGGCCGCCTCCGACCCCTTCGCAATGGGGTCCGCGGAAGACTCACCAGCAGGATGATTGGACTATGTACAACACCCAAGGCACCCGTGAGGTGTACTCCCGTCGGGGGAGCGGATTACGTGAGAGTCTGTTTGACAAGGGATTGTTCCCGGAACCTGGGTCTACCTCGGAGAAGGGGAGCCCCAAGCAGGACCTCGAGGAGTGGATGTTCGAGCCGTCGGGACCGCGTGGTCACGCAGAAGATGAGGAGGGCACCGGAGCCTTCCAAACGGAAGAGGACTATGACCCACCCCCGGACTACCGCCCTCGGGACCCCATCCCGGAGGAAACTACCGGGGAACGTCTAGCAGAACTGGAAGACTCGGTGAGAGACTTAATGCGGGCATTCCAGGATGTGATGGAAGGCCTGCCGGGAATGTTGGACGTTAGAATGGCCAATTTCCTGGACGCACACGCCGCGCAGTTACAAGTTGCTCCTGCACCGGGATTTCCCGC